TAAAAAAATTAACTTTATCATTTAAAAAAAAAAAGTGATAATCATTAAATAAAATAAAAGGTGATAAAAAGTAATAGTCTTTTAAGGTACAAAATAGATAAATCCTTTAAACAATTAGTAAAATGCATCCCAAACACAACCTTACTAATTGTCATCCTCCCCTAATTGAAGAATGAAAAATCTCTAAAACTTACTCTAGTGAGATAATTACTGTCAACTTACACATATTTCTTGGACTAGCAAGCTTCAGTCTACCGTAAAATAGCTTTAATATTTGGTTGACCAGGTTTCCTGCACCATCTAGTTAAGGACGACCTATGACCAAATCCAAATAGAGGAATGCTAGCTGCACTCGCCTTTCTCCAGCACTCTCCAACACTCTCTCATGTAAAATGGGAAGAGTGAGTTTTGTGCTAATATTAGATGATGTATGGGAAAGGTTTTCTCTCAAGGAAGTTGGAATCCCAGAACCAGTGCAGAATAAGAGCAAAGTAGTCATCACTAGTAGATCAGTTGAATTATGCAATTATTTGGATTGTAAGATTGTTAAAGTGCAGCCTCTTTCACCACAGGAGTCTCTAAACCTATTCTTAGATAAGGTTGGACGTGATGTTTTACAAAAAGTTTCAGGATTGGAAGAAACCTTGAAGCTTATTGTGGAGGAGTGCGACGGCTTGCCACTGGCAATTGTTGTAATAGCAGGGAGTTTGAAGGGAGAATATGATATTGCAGAGTGGAGAAATGCTCTAAATGAATTACGCCAAGGTGTAAAAAGTGTGAAATGTGTTGAAGATGAGATATTCGGACGGTTAAGATTTAGTTATGATCGTCTAAAAAGTTTGCAAATCCAAGAATGTTTTCCGTATTGCTCTTTGTTTCGGGAAGATTATGAGGTTTTTAGAGAGAAGTTGATTGAAGATTGGACTGATGAAGGACTGATTGTGATTGATGAGTTGGGAAGTAGACAAGAAGCTTATAATAGGGGCCTTGTTATTTTAAATAGGCTTCTACAGAATTGCTTATTAGAGCAATGTGTTGGAAGTGATAGCGTTAAGATGCATGATGTTGTGAGAGACATGGCTATCAAAAGTATTGGTCTTGGATGTGGATATATGGTAAAAGCTGGCATGAAATTGAAAAAGGTACCGAATGAGAGTGGGTGGGTAGAAGATCTCAAGAAGGTATCTCTAATGGCAAATGACATTTCA